GAGTGTGTGTGTGTGTGTGTGTGTGTGTGTGTGTGTGTGTGTTTGTGTGTGTTGACGTGTGTGTTGACGTGTATGTTTAAGTGTGTGTGCGTCTGTGTATATGTGTGTAAACGTGTGTATATGCGTGTATGTAATTACATGCCCCAGCAATTTTTTTTCTGGGGGAGAACAATGAAATGTTATTATATCTTACAAAACAGATCAATAATATTCAGATGGAAAAAAAACAAACAAACCCCCTCCCCCCAAAAAAGAACAAACAAAAACAAGACAAAACAGGAAAGGCATGAAATGACTCGGACAACGGGTGTGTAAAACAATAGACTGATAACGCGATAAACAATGATACATTGGCAAACAGGAGAAAAAAAAGAATTGACGTTATACTTGTATGTCTTAATTATTCTTCAATTTGACATGAAATAAATGAAAATGGTTAAAACTACTAACACACAAGCAAAGAGACAAATAGTCGGACAGTAAGACACCCCGTCTTCCTTTTCGTTGGGGATGTTGGGGTAGGGGGTGGTGTGTACCTTAACTAGGTATTACAGAAGTGGCTGATTTATTAACAACGGCCAGCGTATATCGGTGCCTTATGGCCTTGACAGACGAGCTACAATTGTCGCGCAGTAAATTCTGAGCAGAAAGTGTCGTTTACTTCTGTGTGGCAGCCGCACGGGGCGACATTTAACGTGCTTCGCTGTCGCACGCGGGAGACCCCAGCTCAATTCTCAAGTTGGGAGAAACCCGTATATAGTATCTTTGTATTTCTGTGGGGATGTTGTATCCCTCTTAGCCCGGGTTGGCCCTGACAGACAGGATCGGAAACCCGCCTCTTAAATGAATCTAGATAAATTGTGTCGATGGAAGCGTGAAAAACCACAAACATAAAATAAAACCAGCCAGTATACTTAAGTCAAAGCAAAACATTTGGTGTCATATTACTGCTGAAAATCAGGTCAAGAAAAAGAGTGCACCCAATAAAGAAAAAATCTAGCTACACTTCCAAAATCTTGGTGAACAATTCTGACTTCTTTTCGATGTCATACACTTTGAAGTTAGTTCTACCAACTTTATTCCAAACACAGGGTCAACGAACGAGCAAGTTGAATAACATGTTGTGTGTTTGGTTTGTCTTTTGTAGTGTTCAACGCCCATTTCAACACCAATAACAAATCCAAGAGGCCGCCTCAACGCACCAATGCCCGCCAGAGACCCGAGTTAGGTTGGTTTGAAAGCTCAATAAAAAGTCCTATAATATAGGGAACCTAGCAGGCGGACAAAAACCTTGCCTTGGGGTCCGGAACATAATATATTTATAAGAACGGCTCTATTTGTTCAGACAAATTGTTGACTGAGTAGACATTTTTTGCATTACACAAATTCTACAAATCTGGACCAGAGAACAAATCCATAAAACCTTTAAGAATTACTCAGCAAAAAACCCAGGGATTTCCACGGCGGGCATACATATATTTTGCTGTCATTTCCATGGTTACTGAAAAGAAAAGTCAAAATCACGAAACTGTGCTTAAAGTTTACAATATTTTGGCTTTAGTTTATTTACGTTTATTATAAGATTTAAACTTTAAAAAAGGGGAGGGGCGATTTTGTAAGTATATGTGTGTTTCTGTAAGCGTATGTGCGTATGTACATTAATACATAATATAT